TGACTCACAGCTGAAGTGATGGGTGACAATGAACATCAAGGATGGGCAATAAAAGTACTCCTGGCTGCGCAACTTGAAGATGAGGGGATGCATTCTTGATGGAGAACTCAACTGGCCCTGCACTCCGAGGCTGGGGTGTTAACAATGGCTATAGCTTCCTCTCTTGGAGAAAGTGGAGCAGGGAATGGAGTTCAAACAGAAATCCATCAAGCTGGACTTGCTGTGGAGACCCTTGTTTTGCCCTTTCAGATGTGTATTTCTGAGAAAGGCACAAAAAGGCAGGCACTCGGCATGGCAAACATGGGTCACAAAGGCCTGGGCCCTTCCTCAGCTCTGCAGGGCCTGGCTGAGGCCCTAACAGCGGACCTATTTCTTTCTGGGTTTTCTCTCTGATGAAAACAACTGTACTTCCCCAATGTGGGAGAGGTGAGGGAAGCCAATGTGACTGATGCAGGCTCCAGGCTGGCTGCTGCGCTGATTCCACAGACCCCTTAGAATGGGGTTACCGAAGACCACCCTGCATGTGAGTGGCCGTATCAACAGCCCAGCTGCTTTTCCCAATGGAAACTCACCTTCCTTCACCCAATTTACTGGATGCAAACTAGATATTTTCTTCTCCTGATTAATGTTCATGGGCCTTAAGAATGAGCAAACAGCCCTGGCTGGTGTGGCTCAGTGGACTGAGTGCCAGCCTGTGAAACAAAGGGTTGTTGGTTCAATTCCCAGTCAGGACACATGCCTGGGTTGCAGGCCAGGTCCCCAGTAGGGGGCGCACAAGAGGCAATGATACACTGATGTTTCTCTCCCTCTCTCCCTCCCTTCCCCTCTCTAAAAATAAATAAATGAAAAATCTTAAAAAAAAAAAAAAAAAAGAATAAGCAAAACAAAACAAAACACAATTTTCTCTAGGGGATGACTCCCCAGCCAGGTCACAAGCTATTCAAGATCCAGGACGAGAGGTAACAAAGTCACTCCATGGAAGGGGCCAAACAAATGGGAGCAGAGACACTCATAAAAGTGGAGAGAAATCTATGTGTGTGTATATGTCCGTACTGGAGGGAGGGTGCAGCTGAGAATGTTGCAACAGAATTCAAAACCTTAATTCTGTAGGATATTAAGGCAAAAAACAAACAAACAAACAAAGACCCTTACAAGCTATTGGTACAATTCCAGAAGAATGAGAAACTTGGATAAGCAGGGATAGTTAAGTCTGCTTTTTAAAGGTGCCTCAACTACAAAGAGCTGTTCCTACAGTCAGGAACCTTCCCTGCCAACAGATGTACGCACTTGCATGTGAGCCCTCTCCTCTCTGGGAGGCTATGTGACCACAAAGCTCCTGGAAGGTCCCCCAGCCACAGCCAGTGAGTCACTGGCAGAGGGAGGAGGAGGCCCTGCGACACTCCTGCAGGTTCTCAGCATCGAGTAACAGTTAATAGAAATATAAACCTCCCCACATGATGTGCTGGACACTCACATCCTCCCACCAACTGCAGTGAGGCTGGGAGCTAAGGCCAGGCTCAGGAGAGCATTACATGTTTAACCAGGCCACCTCAGACAGAGAAGACGCCAGCGATTCTCCCCCTAGGTCCGTACAAGTGTTGGCAGGTGCAGTCGCTAAGCCGGGCTCTCCTCAGTGGCACAAAGGAGCTGCTTCCCAAACTCACCTGGGCAGGCAGTGAGAAGGAAGGCGCCAGCCAAGCCCAAGGAGGCTTTTCTCAACTGATCCTCTTGGGAAAAGTCAGATAAAAATTTCATGGCTGGAATGCAAGGGTTGAGAAACGCTGGAAGCAGCCCCAAAGAGGGCCGAGGACTCTCCTTCCAGGAAGGCAGTGGGCGGAGGGCTGGCAGGAGCTAGTAGGAGAGGAGCAGGTTGCCCAGAGGGGCCTGCTTTTCTCGGAAGCAAGAACTAAGGTTCAAGGAAGGAGAGAAAGGAATCCCCAACCTCTGAGGTGGTGGAGGGGCCAGAGATAGGGTTTTTTGTTTCTGAACATGAAGAAAACAGGGCTTTGTGTCAAAAAGTAGTTCTGCCATCAATGAGCCAATTATGACACAGCTCATTGTTGCTGGGATTTGGAAGCCTGAGGCTGACAGCATGTGCTCTCGAGGGTTAAATGTGCACAGTGAGCTTCTGAAACCAGGCTTTAGCCTTGTCCTTGATGTCATGTGAAAGGTCTCTATTCATGCTCCGACTAGCCAGAGGAGGTCCATCAAGTGAGGGTTATTACCACCTCAGAGACATAGTCTTATGTAACGCTCACGGGGTCCCTGATCATGAGGTGAGGACGACCACACACCATGTTAGTGGCTGAGAGCCTGCCGTAAGCGCTATCCTTTTCTATCCTTGGGCAAGTTCTCAATAGCCCCTCTGTACCTCAGTTTCCTCATCTATAACATTATCTACTTCATAGAGTGACTATAAGGAGGAACTAAATTCATATGCTATAAAGCACTTGGAACATCACTTGGCACATATTAGGTACGATTTAAGCATTAGTTGCTGTTGAGGTATGACAAAAGCAAGGACCTGAGTCCCCAGGCAGGCCAGAGCCCAGCTGCTAATGTCCACGCTCCATCAGCTCCTCTGAACCGCAGCTTCGTCAGGCCACGTTCAGACCCATGAAGCCCCACGCATCCGAGCGCCCCAGACCAGAAGGCCTGACTAAAGGAAAATCGGTCATGTGGACACAGGAAGGCCCATTTGGTCACTCCCCCACAGAAGAGAAGCAAACACTGGTGCCAGCACATTTGGGGTTGGTTTCTCAGTTGCAATCCATGTGGTTTAATCTGAAACGGGGTCAAGTCCCACAGTGAGAAGCACAGATATTACAACTGTGCTTGCTTATCTAAACTGAGTCAATCGTCATCAATCCTGAGATAATAGGGAGCTGGAGTCTTGAGGGGTGTATTGGAAAATATTCTTGGCAAAGGAGGGAGAACCATTCCTCTACCAGCTAACAACTTAGTAAACAGCACCAAGAAACTCAGAGGAAACGTCCTGATTTCCTCCAACCTGCAGATCCTGGCACCAGGGAGACCTGACTGGGTATCTGAGCTGCGGGTTGCGGGGGAAGATACCTCAGGAGGCTGGCACCTCTCTGTAGCTCAGCCAGCTCAGGCGAAAGAGTGCAGGCTGCAGCCTCTGCCTTGTGTCTGCAGACAGTTCTGGACCAGGGCTGTATGTATGCATCCAATAACCTGGAGCCTTGTGCTTCCTTGTGACATCTGGGGGTGGGGTGGGGCGTGGCAGCTGGGTATATGCCTTAGACAGGGAGTAAGATCTCGGACTTATGTCAGACATACAAGACGGGCAGGTGTGTCCCCGCCAGAGCCCCTGCCCTTCGGCCCAGAAACCCGGACCTTCCAGAGCTGGAAGGGCCATCTGGACTCAGATTGACTACACGTTATAAGCAATCTGTTCGAGCCTTTATGTCTTCAAGTACCTCCCGGCCAATCACCAGTGCCAATGGGGCCTAGAGGGAGAAGCCAAGCTCAGGGCACAAGAAGTATGGCTCTGGGACAGATTCCAGATTCACAGGTGGAGTTTCCAGATGCCCCGTGACCCAGCCCGGCTATCTGCTGCTGCTAGGGAAAGACTGCAGTGCCTCAAGCCAGCTACTTCGAGGTGGCTGGCTAGAGAAACCCACTGGCTGGAGCTGAAAACTGCTCTGAGGTGGCAGGGGGGCTTTGCTTGGCTCTTGCCAAGAAGCTCAATTCTCATGGCTTTTCATGGCTTCTGCATAGTGAGCTCTCTTGGGCAGGCCCGTTCCCAGGATAACCCTCCCAACACCACAGTCTGCTCCAAGGTGGCAGCCCTAACTTTAACCAGCTAGGCCTCCCTGTTCCATCCCTGTCAATTTCTTCCCCTGCTTGTTAAAATTCCAGGGCGCCTTCAGAGCCCACATCTCATGTTCTTCTGCCTCTGAGAAGCATTCCCTAGAGACCACTGAGTGTGCTGACTTTTCTGTAGTGCATTAAACCACTACCACTTCTGGGGCTTGCGGATGAGCACCTGGAGCTAGAATTGATAGAAGTATCTATTTCCAAATCTATTTGTACCTACAGCTGACTCATACCAATGAATTAACTGTTCATGTACCCCCAAAAGAGCCTACCCCCAGAAGGACCCCTGGGTCCTGAGCCTGCCACACAGAAAGTATGTAATAGAGACTCTTTTAGAAGGACGGATTACCCCGATCTTGCGGGAGTGAGCTGCTTCCCTTTTAGTCCAGAGCACAGCAACTTCCTCCCCAGCAGGCAAGGTTCCTGTTCTGGCCTGCCAGCTCCCAGGTATCCTCTGCCAGCAGCTATTCCCTAGAGTTGCCCGGGACTCAGAGCAGAGCGGGGTGCCCAGCTCCAGCCCCGCCCACCATTTGTCCCCTATCAGAGGAAAAGAGGTCAGCAGGAAGCGGATCTGACCTCTCGGGTGGCCACGGTTTCTCCCAAGGGCTATGGAGGCCCCCCCCTGGACAGGCAGCAGGGGCCTGCAAGGGACTTCCCTTCTCTGCCCTGGGCCCCCTGGAAGGGAGGCAGGAAGAAGGGCCTCAGTAGCAGGCGTCCAGTACGGAGCTGGCTAGACAGGGAGGCCCCTGGGGTTGCAGCTATCAGCCGGAGACCAGGCTCCAGGAAGGAAGGAAGGGCAACTGTGGTCGGGGCTGAGATAAGGAGGGGAGCCGTGCTCAGCACAATGGGCTCCCACAAGGCTGGGAGGCCCCAACTCAGATTTCGCCCCAATTTGGCCTCCCATCTGCTCACACAGCCCGTGTAAATATTTACTAATGTTTATATTCCTGCTTTGCTGGGTCCCCTCTGAGGCCCTTCTCTGTGACCCACAGATCCGTGCTCCCCAGGCCCTAGGCCCGGCCAGCAAGGGCCATGAGCATTCTTCTCTCTCATGCAAGCCACAGGAACGGGCCCTTCAGGACAAGACTATCCCCTGTCCCAGTCCCGGGACACTGCTGCCCAGAGGCTGCACTCACCCCCTCTGTGGGTAGGAAACTTACGGGGCCCGGTCATGGGTGAGGCCATTCTGCCGCTGAGGGTTGATGGGTGGAAGGACGGGCTTGCTGTTGATCTCAAGTCCTCTCCTCAGGGTCTCCCGGATCTGCTCCGTGTCTGCAACAACACCGCTAAGTTGCCTGGTGGCCCTCTGGCTCCCAGCATTCCCCAGCCCTGCTGTGGAAGCTGGCTCTGCAGACATGCTGGGGAAAGGCCCCCATGAAGGCCTCCTGAGCCAGCTCGAGGCATCAGCTGTGAGATGTGAGTGCGTGCAGTGTGGGGACACGGGGCTGACAAAGGCATCATGTTCTCAAGAAACTTTGGGTCAAAGACTGCCGTTCTTGCAGAAGACAAGGGGGGCGGTGGGGCCCTGGACTTCAGAAGGGCGCCCCCCACGATGGGGGTCCTCTCCACTATCCTTTCCCTTCCTGCTCTAACACAGTTCCAGACAGAAACTACCAAGGCCTCTGCCACTGCCCATGACCGTCCAAAGGTTCTGCCCACTGAAATGGATCCCCACAAGGGCTCAGAGTGCCCTGCCACGAATGGCCAGGTGTCTCTTACACAAATTTTTGGGCCCTGGGTGGCCAGGTGGTATCTGCTGAGGTCATCTTCCTACCTTGGCCCAGGATGCCGTGCCTCTCCATGGGTCTGACAAGAGCCAGGAGATGGGAGAGGAGCCCCTGGGTGGGATTATTTCTTTGCAAGGTGCTCTGCTGCTCTCTGAGTGAAGACTACTAGTCTGGTCCCCTCCACTGAGCCTCTGGTCTACGACTTACCTCCGCAAACTAAACAGGGCCAGAAAGGAAATTAACATCGGTTGCTCAAATGATGGGCTTAGAATGGATGATGGAGGTGATTATTAACTTTTTGTTTGACTTGTTAGAGTAGCATGGGTTACTTTTTTACTTTAAAAAAAGAAAAAATCCAATAATGGTGCCATTTTGGACAAGACTATGAATTCCTCCTTAAATTATCTGTTTTGTCAAAAGCAACTGAATAATTCTAATAATTGTATATGTTCTCTTGGAACCTCCCATGGGTTTGTCACGCCATTAGAATAAGCAGGAAGGACAGAAAGGAGTCAGGTATTTGTGCTAGGGGTGTAAGCTGTCATTTATGGAAAGGGAACCTTTCATAAGTGCTATCAAGTATGGAGGTATTGTATTCAGGACTACAGGTATCTTACTCTTCAAAAGATAAGAAAAGGTAGGGGAATCGAGCAAAGAAGTAGAAAAAGAAGCTGTAAACACATGCATTTGTAAAAGGCTGCTTTTCTTTTGGTTTTGCTAAGAAACCACAGCTGTTTCCATAGCCAAGACCAACATGGTGACCTTCTAACCGGAGAGCCATACCCTCCTTCTCTGAGGCCCTACCTGGAATGCAATGGGCACAGGGTGCCCTGCCCACAGCCCCTAACACTGGATCTGCAGGACAGTAGGGCAGAGAAGTTTGCAAGCTGGCCTCACACTCAGGCCTCTCTTTTCTAAGGCCTGGGAGGGCCTGAGGCCAGAGTGATCCTTGGGTCTGGCATGGCTCTCAGGCCAGAGCTGGGCCCTGTGTCAATTCTGTGGGTGGCCGACGCTTGTTCTCTTGTACTTGGGTGGACTGTGGCCTTTTCCTGTAACTGTTCTATGGCTTCCACTCACCTCCATGACCTCAGACTGCAAGGGATAAATCTAAAACACAATGGTCACTGCTGGTGGTGCATTTGAAATACACACAGGAAACACAGGAGAAATGGGCCAATAAAGCTCCCTTAATTCCACCCTGCTGAAAGACTTCACATGCTGTTTCAATCCTGCCAGGAAATAAACTACTGAATGGACTGTTTATGTTAGAGACCCATCTTATAGAGCCTGCAAACCAGGCCCGGGGAAAGGGAAGGAGGAAGGCCAGCGCCGGCTCCCACCTTTGCCAGAGAGCCGCCGGGGCTGTGTGCCTATGCAGATGCTCCGGCTGTCTTCATCATCCTCAGGGGGCCGGCTCAGGTCATCCCAGGCACACTTGGCACTGACACCGCTTAGATTGGAGCCGTCCGTCTCGATGCCTTTGTCAACTCTCTCCTGCTTGGAAAGAACCAAAGAGCCAGAGTTCCTTCAGCGAACCGGTAGCCTGTGGTCAATGCCACCTTTCCAGTATTTACAGAGCCCGCGTTGGTGCTGAGCCTGGGACAAGTGCTAGAAGAGCAGGATCTCTGATCTTGCTCTGCCCTGATTCCTAACATATGACAGCCTCTGCCAGCCACTGGACTCCGCCAGGGGAACCAGGGACTGGGGGAAACCAGGAAGAAGCAAAATCCCAAGGGAAGCTTCTTCTCTATCATCAAGCTTTCAGTAAAATGACCTCCATAACTGTTTTGGAGCCTTGACTGCCTGCCGCATGCTGGCCTGTGCTGCTGATGTGGCAGAGCCAGGAACTACTTCCCTGAGGAGAGGCACAGTCCTTCCTCTCCTCCCGTCATCCAGGAAGAACCCCCACCCCCAGCTGCTGCTACAGAGGACAGGGTGGGAGCTGGCCACAGGTGGGAGAGGCCAGGACAGACCAACTTCTCCCTGGTTCCACATCTGTAGTTTCCTCTTCTAACAGCAGGGGGTGTGGTCATGCAGCGAAGCGCCATCGGAGAGCAGAAGGGCAGGACTTCCTGCATTGCTAACTTGTTTGGCAAAGGTCTCTGGATGGAGTTTCTTTTACTTCCTGGAATGAAATGGGGGCCTGGAGGATGCTGCCCATCTCAGACCCCACTAGAGGCCCTGCTTTTGTGCAGGCCTTGGCACTTTTGAGTCCAAACATTCTCCAAATGGCCTCACCAAATGGCCTTGAGGAACAGTTGTACCCAAACACCCCTGGGGTTTCTGGTAAAACATAGTTCTGTGAGGTTGGGTTTTGGATTAAAGGTCATCTGAAAGGCTCTAGCAACCTTGCTCATAACAACCACGTGGGCCAAATAAAGCTCCTGAGTGGGCACCTCAACAGGAGTCCGCGTGCCCTCCTCCGCACGCCTCATGGCACCAAACTGGCTGCTGCTCGGCCAGGGAGCCTGTCCAGGGGCATGTGAGGTAAGCTTCCATACGGTCCTTATTTCCTGAGAAAGGCCGTGCCCTGGATGCCTCCTCATCAGTCACTCTCCTCCTTTCTAGTGCTACCTTTGGCCTGGGCAAAGCTGGGATTCTGACCAGGGACAGGGACAGCTGATGAAAAGGAGCAGCTCTGTGCTCCCGCAGGAGTGGGCGGACCCTCGTTTGCTCAGGGTCGAGTCTGAACTTTTCCCTCTCTACTGGCCACCCGAAGCCCCTCAGTGAAGCAAAGAGCTAAGGACGTCTCTTGGTTCAACTTCGTAAGTAAAGAAGAAAGACTTAGACCCAGAGAAGTTAAGGGACTTGTCTAGGCACATAGCTAGCCGGTGGCAGAACTTGGAGCAAAGGAACGGGAGCCAGCCCTAAAATGAACCACTCGTGAGCAGGCCCCAGGCTGGCAAACGTGAGCACAGGGGAGTTCCCACGTGGTGCACAGAGCCACCAGGAAAGAAAGCTGGACTTCCTCACCGAGGTCCGCCTGCTTGCTTTTAAAGACCACTAGGTGCTCTTGGTCCTGCTGGCTGGTCTCAGGGGAGCCTAAAGATTAGGAAGAGAACCATTCTTGGCATGCAGAGAAAGGACAGGCTGCTCACCCTACTAAGTTTAAAGGACCAGGTTCTTTCTCAACACTTGGCACTTAGGACAGAAGCAAAACAACAGCCCACAGTGTCCCATGCTGGATCCCCGGGTGGCTCTAGAACAGGGCTTATAAGGGAAACATACCCTTAGTGGTTCCTGGTTCTTGCATAAGCAGAAGCTACAAGGAAACCAAGTTTAAAGTAGAGATAACAGAGGGTCCTGGCAGCAATGTGAAAACTTCAGTGTTAAAGGCGCTAGGAAAATAGAGGAGCGTCATCTGTGAGTGAGCAGGGTCCCCACCCACGAGATCAGAGGCTTGCGGTACAGAAAGCAGGAGCTGCTGGCTATGTTTCTACCTGCTGCCTCTTCCCTGGCACCCTTTGTCCCTCCAAGAGGACACATAATTCTTGGCAGCTGCCTGTGGCCTACCAGATCTTCACAGAGGCTCAGGAGATGGCGGGGGGGGGGAAAGTAGAGGCAGGCACACGCTAGGCATGTTATTAGCTGTCTGCTGCCCCTGCTTCATAAGCAGCCCGTAAGAAAGGAAATTATGCTCTACGTGACTTTCAAAACCCACCTGCATGCAAAAACAGTGCTTCTTCTAAAAAACCAAAGACGACACTGAAACTCTCTAGCTGGGCCATGTGGGTGGGCAACTGTAGGCCCGTATGTATAAACACTTCCTTTCCACACTGAGAAATGCCAGCCTGCCCGGGGAAAGAGCTTGGTGTCCGACTGCTCAAGAAGGAAATGTATCTAAATAGGGCCTAAGATCATTAGACCAATCAGGGCTGCCCACTGCAGCTGGGCCGTGCGCGTCACTAGCGCCCATTCTGTCTGTCACCGGGTGGTGGCGGCAGCGGTGGGATGGCTCCCTGAAAGGAAGTCTGTGTTCTTCACAGAAGCAGGAAGTGGGAAGGTGAATACTGGACAAGCAATACCCACTCTATTCATGTAGTTGCTGGTGATCTTTTTTTAAGTCAGGTTTATTGATATATGATTTGCATACAATAAAATTATCCTTTTTAAATGCAAAAACACATGTGACTGAGACCACTTTTCCTGACCTGAAATCTCTGTTCCCTCATGCACTCTGCAGAATTCAGGGGACAATTTCCAAATCACGTCATATTTCTACTCACTCACAAATAAAGCTCCTCCGTTTTCCCAGGATGAAAGCCAGTGTTATTTGGAAGAGGCCTAGGCACAATGTGCTAGAAAGGTTTTCCTCACTCAAGACATACTTGCAGGTGCGGATCGATCTCAAATATGGTCTCTCCCCTCCGCATGTCAGTTATCAGCCAGGGGCCGCCAGCGCTGTGGACAAAGAAAGGGGGCAGGAGGGTCTGGGCTGGGCCTACAGCCTGCCCTGTTTGCTGCCCCAGAACACAAGGGAGAGGTTAGTGGTCGGGGGCCATCAGGGGACGAGTTGTCAGGAAGCCCTGATGTGAAAAACCAGTGCCTGACAGCAATGTAGGGAAAGCCCACGTGTGGGGAAGGGAGTCCCACCCCCAGGCCTGGGAAGCCAGGCACCCGCCTAGCAGGGAGGGGACGTACTCACATGGGCACCGTCCGCAGCAGCTCCAGGATGCCCTGCCCGTTCCACTGCTGGGCTGCATGGAGCTCCTCAGTGCAGACGCCGACAATCTGAGACCCCGGGACAAGATGCCGTTGTGTGTTAATGGCCATTCCTCCCACCCACCTAGAAGGTCAGCCATCCAGGCTCTGTCAGTGTCACCTCAGGGGATAGGACTACAGACGGGATCTGTGCCCAGGGGCTGGTGCATCCAATATGGGATGGTTCCCTCACAAGGGAAGAGTTGCCTGGCCAGGGTACGCATGGGTCCTCAGATGTGGCACTGAGGCCTGATTCTTGCCCTGTTGTGATAGGTCAGCTGTCTGGTGACGCGATGTCTAGCCCTAAACTGCGGAGGGAAAAATCACAGCCCTGCCAACTCGGGATGGGTCCCAAGCCCCTGTCCACAGAAGCAGGGGAGGCCCCGGCAGATGGTCCTACCCGGTCCATGATCATGGGGAACATAATCAGGAGATTTTGAGACTCTAAGCTCGAAACTATGAAGCTGGCAGAAAAGCTCTCGCCCTTATTAGGGACTGAGCTTTAGTAAATCTCAAGGGAAACAACTGGATCTTCACGCCGGCCCCATCAGGATGGCAGGGAGGCCTTCTGTGGCTGGGGAGGGCACACAGCCCAAAGCTGTATTCCTGCTGGGGGACCCTGTGCTGGTAGCTGCGCGGGCCTTCACTAGTTCCCAGAAAGACCCCGTTACCCGCCTTGTCCACAACCATTCTCTTCTACCCAAATGGCCCCTTCCCTTTCCTCCTCCTCCCATCTCAGCAGGTTCAATCAGACCATCTGAAGTGACCTGACAAACCAACAGAGGGAGTAGCAAATGGGAGAAGACCAAGGAACTCCCCGGTCCCCTGCACTTTCCTTATCCGAACATCCCTGTCCTTCCAGGACCACTGCCAAGGAAAGGCTCAAGCCCACGTCCAACCCGGGCCTCACCTGCAGGAAGGTAACTACCCCAAAGGGCGTCTGCACGGGTTGCATCTGCGGGTCCTCTGTCAGCAGCATGTGCTGGATTCTTGACTCACTGTTATCCAAAGGGCTGTGCCAAGACACGTGGTCCCCACTGCAGAAGGTGTTCTCTGTGGGAGAGACAGAGGGGTCCTCGGTGTCTGAGGCCCTGCATCCAGACCTAGAACTCAACCTGGGATCTGAGGAGCCCTGGCTGCTAGGCTCCCCAGGCTTCCAAGGTAGCCCCTGTGAAGGAGGGGAAACATTCACGCCGATGAGAGCCAAGAGTGTGGCTATTTCCCCCAACCCAATGTGCTTCTGCCGGCCAGTTCTCCCAGCCTTCCATAGGAAAGGACAGGCTGCTCGCGTGTATGCTCGTTTGGCCTAGCAAATCCAAAGCCTTCTGGCATCTGCTCCGCTTCCCCAGCACCTTCACTTGTTTGAGGAGGCAGGAGGCAGGAGGCAGGAGGCAGGAGGCAGGAGGCAGGCGGTGGGGGCGGAGGAGGGGGGCGTAGCGATGGGGCCTACCAAGAAAGAATAAAGCGCTTTATTATGGGGCCACCTGAACCCAGGTCCGCAGGGAGACTGGAGGGCAGTGAAAGCCTTCACCTTGGAAAAACAGACCAGGGTTTGTGTGTCACAGAAACTATGCTCAAAAGAGGACACCTAACCTTGTGGGGCCCTTGAGATGGGTCGGCAGTTTCCCCTCAGCAGACAGGTGCAGGGAACAATTCCTCGGGAAACACGGGAGGCCTGACCCAAATGGAGGTCTGAACTGCACCTCACACGCCTTGGCAGAGACATTCAACCTGGTGGGCTGGCCGTTTCCATGAGGGCACAGACACTGTGCCCATGCTGCCCAACAGACACGTGCCCCTGTGGCCAGTGCACGGCCTTACCACCGGGCTTCACACAGGTCCATTGCTTAAGAAAAACTTCAGGTGGCGTAAGCACAAGGGAAAAACCACCCTTGTGGTATGATGTCTTCCTCCACCCCTGCCCCTTATCTTGGGTGCCCTTCCAAAGGAACTCTGCGTTTACCAGCCTGCATGCATCTATGGTTTTCTACTTTTTGTCTTCTAACACATGTGATAGCACACCACTCTGTGTACTTCATGTATTTTGGAACCATTTCCCATCAGCACACAGAAAGCTGCCTCATTCTCTACATGGCTGTCTGGTAGTTCACTGTGGTCTAGCACATATGACCTGGGAATCTCAACAGCTGATGCCCCTTCACTTGTTATCGATATTTGAAGCAAGGCAGGAATCAATCAATCTCTCTCTCTCTCTCCCTCACCCCGGCCTGAAGGCCTGCAAAAGCTTCTACTCTCAATTGTCTTGGTCTGAATACCAACTTTCTCTGGTGTCAGGTGAAGTTACACACCACCTTTCCTAAGGGTTACTGGTCCCAACCTCAAAAGCACTGATATACGAGGGAGAGGACAGACTTCTTCCTCTAAAAGACGTGTGATAATAAAGGAGAGAAAGGGTGCAGCTCCAGGCAGAGCCAACTATAAACCCCCAAATCTCCCAACTCCTGCCGGGCCCACTCTTCCCAGGTTCCCTTTCCTTTTACAGAAGTGCATGCCTGTTAGTAGCTTGTGTTATCTACAAGTTAGAAACAATGCAACAGACTGAATTAGTAATTAAAAGCTTCCTCCACAATAAAAGGTCTAGGTCCAGATGGCTTCTCTAGTAAACTCTACCAAACATTTAGAGAAAAATTAGTACCAATTTTTCACAAACGGTTCCAAAAAAATAAGAGGCAATGCTTCACAATTAATTCTATGAAGTCAATATTTCCATGATACCAAAATCAGACAAAGGTGCCACAAGAAGAGAAAGCTAGAAATTAATATCCCAGATGCATACACACAAAAATCCTCAACAAAATACAGGCCAGTTGAACAGAGCAACACACAAATATGGTTATATACAATGACCAAGTGGGATTTAACCCAAAAATGCAAGGTTGGTGTAACATAAGAAAATCAATGAAACATACGGTGTCAATAGAATAAGCTTTAAAAAACAAACAAACAACACATGATTGTCTCAATAGACACAGAAAAAGCATTTGGCAAAATCCAATACCCTTTCATGATAAAAACACTCAAACTAGGAATAGATAGGAATTTCCTCAATCTGTTAAAGGGCATCTACGAAAACCTACCACTAATACCATACTTGATGGTGAAGGGCTGAATTATTTCCCTCAGGAACAAGACAGAGATGCCCGCTCTTACCACTTCTATTCAATGGTGTATTAGAGTTTCTCACCAGGGCAATTAAACAAGAAAAAGAAATACAAATCTAGGTCGCTTGGAAAAGAAATAAAATTATCTGTATTTGCAGATGACATGATTTTACATATAGAAAGTCCTATGAAACCCACTTACAAATGATCAGGATAAACAAGTTCAGCAAGGTTGCAGGATACAAGAGCAATGTACAAAAATCACTTGTATTTCTATACACCAGCAACAGATAACCTGAAAATAATTTTTAAAAACTTCCGTTTACAGTAGAATAAAAAAGAATACAATGCTTAGGAATAAATTTAACAGAAGAAATGTAAAACTTATACTGTAAAAACTGCAAAATATTGCTGAAAGAAATAACAGAAGACCTTACATAAGTGGAAAGTTATTCAATGTTCACAGATCAAAAGACTGAATATTATGAAGATGGCAATACTGTCCAAATTGATCAACAGATTCAATGCAATCCCTATAAAAATGTCAGGTGCCTCTTTTGCAGAAACTCACAAGGTGAGCCTAAAATTCACATGAAAATGTAAGGAACCCAGAACAGCAAAAACAATCTTGAAAAAGATGAAGAGAGGTGAAAGACAATCTTTCCAATTTCAAAATTTGCTACAAAGCTACAGCTATCTAGACAGTGTGATACTGGCATAAGGATAAACATTTGATCAATGTAACAGAAGTTAGAGTCCAGAAATAAACTCTCACATTTATGGCCAATTAATTTTTGACAAGAACACCAAGGCAATCAATCTAGGAAAGAATAGTCTTTTCAGCAACTGGTTCTAAAACAACTGGATATCTACATATAAAAGCATCAAGTTGGAACAGTTCCTTACATTATAAGCATAAATTGATTCAAAGTGAATCATAGGCATAACAGTAACAGCTGAAATCACAAAATTCTTAGAAGAAACATAGGAGTAAATCTTCTGACCTTAGATTAGGAAATGGTTTCTTGGACACCAAAAGCACAAAGCAACAAAGGATAAATAAATTGGACTTCATTAAAATTAAAACCTTTTGTGCTGCAACAGTACCATCAAGAAAATGAACAGAAAGGCAAATCAAAACCACAATGAGATACCACTTTACATCCATTAGTATGGCCATTATAAAACAAACAAAAAACAACCCAGAAAATAATAAACGTTGGTGCGAATGTGGAAAAATTGGAACCCTGAGCACTGTTGGAGGGAATATAAAATGGTGCTACCACTGTGTAAAACTGTGTGGCAGTTTCCTAAAGTTAAATAAAGAAATAGCATATGATCTAGCAATTCTACTTCTGGGTATGTACCCAAAAGAACTGAAAACAGAGACTCAAACATGTATTTGCACACCCAGGTTCACAGCAGCATTATTCAGAAAAGCCAAAAAAGGGAAGCAGCCCAAGTGTCCATCAATGGATGAATGGATAAACAAAATGTGGTGTTTATTTTTCAGCCTTAAAAAGGAAGAACATTATGACACATGCTACAAAATCAATGAACCTTGAAGACAGCATGCCATGTGAAATAAGCTAGTCACAGAAAAACAAATGCGATCCGACTTATGTGTACCTGGAGTAGTCAAATTCATAGAGACAGAAAGCAGAATCGCTGCCAGGGGCTGGGGAAGAGGGTAATGGGGAAGTCCGTGTTCCATGGAGACAGAGTTTCAGTTGGGGAGGATGAAAAAAGCTCTGGATAAGGATAGTGATGCTGGTTGCACAACGATATGAAAGTACATAATGGCACAGAACTGTACACTTAGAAATGATTCAAATGGTAAATGTTGTGTTGTGTATATTTAACCATAATTATTTTACAAAAGAAAGTACAAAGGCAACCCTCAGAATGGAGAAAATATTTGTAAATCATGTATCTGATAGATATCCAGAATACATAAGTCTTACAGCTCAATAACAAAAAGACAAGTAATAAAAAATTTAAATGTGCATGAGATCTGAAAAGATCTTTCTCCAAAGAAGATACATAAATACACAGCAAGCACATTCAAAGATGCTCAACACGATTAGCCATTAGGGGAATGCAAATCAAAACCACAATAAGATACCAACGCTTCACACCTACTAGGAGGGCTAAGATAGAAACAGGCAAGTGTTGGTGAGGGTGTGGAGAAATTGGAATCGTCATATTTGCTGATGGCAATGTAAAATAGTAGAGCTGCTTTGGAAAAGAGTTTGGTGACCCTATAAAATGTTAACTGTGGAATTACCATGTTACCCAGCAATTCCACTCCTAGGTATGTACCCAAGAGAAATGAAAACATGCCCACACAGACTTGTACATGATTGTTCATAGCAACATTATTCATGATAGCCCAGAGGTGGAAACAACCCAAATGTCCATCAACTAATGAATGGATGAATAAAACATGATGCATCCATGCAATTGAGTGTTATTTGGCAAAATAATAATAATAATAATAATAATAATAAATGAAGTACTGACACTGTACTTCAGGAGCCTTAAAAACACGACACTAACCAAAAGAAGTCAGTCACAAAAGGCCATATGTGATGCCATTTACATAAAATTTCCAGAACAGGCAAATCTATGCAGACAGACTGACTAGCGGTCGCCTAGGGCAGGAATGGTTAGGGAGAATGGGGAGTGACTGGTATGAGTTTGCTTTTTGGGGTGATGAAAATGTTCTGGGGTTCATTGTGCTGATGGCCACACAACTGTGAACAACATGGTATGTGAATTATTATCTCAATAAAAATATTATCTCAAAGATATTATCTCAATCTCAAGTTAAAAAGAAAGAAGGCAAAAGGGAGGAATCTGGGGGAAAGGCAAAGTGAATGAAGCAAGGCCAAGGCCCTGGATTCCTGGTTACCACCCCCTCAGGGGAAG